TTTCTTTTATTTCTGTCCTATCATAGGGCCCTACTTCCACCTAAAATATGCAAAAGTATTATATAAGTAGTAACCAGCACACACAGGGTGCCAAAGAATGATGGCAAACTAGTGTTTTGAGTACTTCCAACTGTACGTAGTGCACTGGGCACTTGGGCAGATGAGTTAGAGCAGGATTTAAAAAAAGAAGCAACATAAGACAAGTAACATCATACATTCTTAAAGCATCACATGAGTAAAACAATCTTGTTACCAAAAAAGAAACCAAGGAATCTCAAAGAAAATGACTACTTTTTAGGGTTTAGCCTAAACTCAGATCTCAGTTTCCCTTTAAGCAGATCAATAACAAACACAAGTTTTCTTGATGATGAGCATAAACAAAGGAAAAATTCAATTCTTTATGAAAAGACTATTAAACCCAAACATCTTCTGTGTCATGTTTTAGTAGACTCATAACTCTGTAACTGTCCATAACTAAGTTCATAACTATAACTGTACATTAGAAAATGTCTAATAACTTTTTCCCTTGCAAGAGCTTCAGGCCATTGTCTTATTAGGCTGCAAATTTCAAATTGGTTCCTTTTTCTGCTCGATAACCATGATCTTCTAGCAGAGTTCTAGCTATGAATTTTCATTTTTCCTAGTCCATGCCCCAAACAGATAGCAGAGATGGCATATACTAGTGTAGTGGCAGTGACATTGACTATATGACAATCAAATGTCCAAAAAAGCCACTAGAATTCTAGCTGCTTGTTTTACAGAAAAAAAATATTACATTTTCTTCAATAAAACTTTATTATTTGAACAGAGCATGAATTTTCTCATAACTGTAACATAAATTTGTTCATTTATTATTATGATAAACTTGTTAACAGCCAGATTCCTTAGTAAATTTAATTTTACTAGACTAGACTAGATGAACAATTTAAGTTTTTATCTACCCATTATCTTAATAATGGAATAACAGGCTTCGTGAACCATCCATGCTGTGAAAATTAAGAAACATCTTATCCATAAGTTACATTTAAGGATATTATACTGTAATAAATTTAAATTATTAACGATTGCTGTTGCAATATGAAATAAAACTGTTAAAATCAAATGGCATTAATCGTCTCTGTAAGACACGAAGACAGGTCGTGTTTTTCCAACGTAATTTTTATCAGCATTATGAGTTCGACAGTCCTATAACTTGATGTGGGATGACTTTAGTAACTGTTTGAAAAAGATGTTAGGAAAGGTATAAGATACATATTCCATTGGAATGACTACAAATGGCTAAGCAAGTTTGAGGGATTTGGGATAGGACGTCCTGCTTGGTGTTCTTCATGAGAAGGTGACACACGTTTATCTGCCATTTGCCTTCTTCTGGAAGCGCTGGAAGGTTTTGCTTGTTAGAATACTAAAATAGTGTTAGTAATAAAGACAGTTAAACTTGTATGCTTGCTGTATAAACACAACAACATTGCTCATAAAATCCTTCATAACTTTTATGTGACAGTTTAAGAGGATGAAACTAATTAAAGAACAGTTAATTAACTGTTTTATCTTCTTCTTATGGGCAAGAACTAGGCGTCACCAAATGAAATATGGAGAGCTGCCTCAACTCAGTCAAAAGCCAGCTTGCAAAGATTGTGCATGGGGATTTATTTGAAAAACTGCCTCCCTGGAACAATGAATATTAGGAGGGTATTTTTTTTTTGGTTTAAGAGCTGAGTCACAGTATTTAAAAAAAAAAAAAAAAAAGATGGAAGCGAATGGGAAGAGTATAATTAAATCCATACATTTAACTTTACCCATTTGCTTTGTCTCACATTTTTTGTAATTGAAAAATCCTCATTGCAGAACAAAAATAATGCAAAATTGCCAAACTATATGCATGCCTGTTGTGGTCTAACCCCAGGTGACAACTAAGCACCACGCAGCCGCTCGCTCGCTTCCCCACAATGGGATGGGTAAGAGAATCAGAAGGACAAAAGTGAGAAAACAGCTCAATAGGTAAAGCAAAAGCCGGGCACTCAAGCAAAACAAAACAAGGAATTAATTTGCTGCTTCCCATCAGCAGGCAGGGGTTCAGCCATCTCCAGGAAAGCCAGGCTCCATCACGTGTAACAGTTACTTGGGAAGACAAAACGCCATCACTTCAAACATTCTCCCTTTTTCTTCTCCCAGCTTTATACATGGAGCATGATGTCGTATGGCATGGAATATCCCTTTGGTCAGCTGGGGCCAGCTGTCCTGGCTGTGTCCCCTCCCAGCTTCTTGTGCACCCCCAGCCCACTTGAATGGGCAGGTGGGGCAGAATGAGGAGCAGAAAGGGCCTTGACTCCTTGTAAGCACTGCTGGGCAATAACTAAAACATCCTCCTGTTATCAACGCTGTTTCCAGCACAAATCCAAAACACAGCTGCATACAAGCTACTGTGAAGAAAATTAACTCTGTCCCAGCCCAAACCAGCACAATGCTCCAGACAATCTGCATGCTAAGTATAATCTCTGCACAATTATAGTTTTACTGATTAATTTCTTTCTTGCAATTTTTTCCTTAGTCGTGATTAATCTTGGCCAGCTAAGCTGCTGGAAGGGTGTATTTGTTCTGTGAAGCACCTAACAAGCACAAGAGGGGTAGTATAAAATAATAATAATTGATCAAAAGTACTAACATTTACTTTTGGCTTAGCAAAAGTGCCTGATAAATTATTCCCCTTAGTGTTTCTCTATTATTGCAATATAGTACCTTGAAAGTGATATATTGGCACAAGCCATTGTGTTCTACCACAGTGCAATTAGGAGGTCCTTTTAAACAGCTTTATCATACGCATACATAGGCTGATTAATTTTCTAATCAAATGTTCCAGGAAATCATTAACCATGACATTAAACAGTGTTGTGATAATTATATTCTCCACAAAGAATTCCAATATAAATTTACAAAACATCTATAGAAATGTGCCAAAGGACAGTTTAATGTATACAAATAATTACAGCTCCTTAGCCCCGCAGCTCCCTGGCGTTAAACCCAAGTCCCACAAAGGTCCAGTTTGAATTCTGCTGCGTTCCACCAGAGCTCCATGTAGTGGTAGTCATTACATTTCATAGGTCACTGCCTGTGTCAGTCACGCTGAAGGACTGGGATTTTGATTCTTTTCATGTCATTGCATTGGAATGAAAGCCCCTCAAATCACATGGGAAAAAGTGAGTGCTGAAAGTTGGAGGGAGCATTTTATTTTCCCTGCATTCGAGACAACACAAAGTGACAGAAAGAATATGGAAACCTGAGCATCCTTCTTAGCGAATGACAGAAGAAAAAAAAGAAACTTGTTCTGTTTTGGAAAATATCTTACAATGTTCTTTTTCTTAATGATACCTAATATTGAGATTGGGAAATAGATTTTCTTCTATATAAGTCTCTAGTTTGCATCATTATTCTAACTACTGTTAATTTGAGATAAAGATAAATGCAAAGTATTGATCGCAGTAATGAGAATTCAGTTACTTCCTAAAGCAAATACAATTGGCTACCCTACAGCATAATGAAATCTCTATTTACCTGTGCATTTCCCCATAAACCGCAAAGTCTTGGGGGTCTATCCATTACAGAAAACAGTTGCACTAAGCAAATGCAGCACGTAGGTACGCCTGTGCTTTTGGCCTTGCTTGTACAGTTAACAGCTCCTCCACAGAGACTGCTGGCCACAAAAAATCCTGCCTGAAGAGGTCGATGGAAATACTGCCATTGTTCTGAACAGGGCCTATGTCTCTCCGGTGTTATTCTGCTTTCTTAACCCAGTACCAGCAAAATGGTATAAAATAGATGTTATAAAAGTATAAAGATACAAAGATACATCTTTTATATAAAAGATATAAAATATTAATATTATAAAAATACTAAATTTAATATATAAACATCAGGTCTCTGAATACATCACAAATTTATATAGAAATAGATGAACTGGTTTTCACCTGTGAAATAGGGACTCCTTTGTAGAGAACTGGAATTTTTAACCAAACCAGGTTTTGGAAATTTCCATCCAGTTAGGCCAAACCAGTGATGGGCCTATCTTGTCCTTTGGCTGGGAGAGGTCAGGTGACAGAATCACAGAATGGCAGAGATTGGAAGGGACCTTCGGACATCATCATCGAGTCCAAACCCCCTGGCCGAACCAGGTTCACCTTTACCAGAAAAGGCGGGACCTGAGCAGCAACGAAATAAAACCTTCCTGAAGGGGGTAAAGGCGTATCTTAACCTCTTAGATAGAGCTGATTTTACCTCAGAACAGGGGGTTTTACTCATCTTCTGCAGGCTGGATGGGGCTTTGAGCAACCTGCTCTAGGGGGGGGTGTCCCTGCCCATGGCAGGGAGGGTTGGAACTCAGTGATCATTAAGGATCCTTCCAACCCTAACCATTCTAGGATACCATTTTCTGGTTGTCACAGAGCCGTTCTACCGCGGCAGAGCTGGTTGGGGGGGAGGGCACACCTCACTCACTCTCTCTGCCAGAGGGGACTGTCACTCGCCATCCCCAGGGGACGTTAATCTGGCGGCCCACCCGCTGATCGCTGACAGGGGAACCGCCCCGTCAGAGCGGGCCGTGGCCGCCGCGGCTACGTGGCAGCAAGAAAACTTCCTGGACCCAAAACAAGACGCCCTCAAACCCTGAAGAAAGCCCATATGCAGCCACAGACCCGCCACAGAGGTTGCCCCCGTGGCCGGACTGACCCCACGGGCCCTCTCCGCCCGCTCGGGACTACGGATCCCTTCGCGCAGCCCCGTCTCCCGCCGCGGGCGAGGGCCGCGCTGCTCCCTGGGACATGTAGTCCAGACTGCCCCCCAGGTGCGGCGACTGGGTCTTCCTCGCCGGAGGCCAGCTGATTCACCGGAGATTGGCAGGCGGCCAGCCAATCGGAAGACGACATTCCTCCCTTTGCCGGCGCGGATTGGCTAGCAGCGGGGAGGACGGGGGCGGGACCCGGCTGTGGCGGGACGATTCGGACGGCGGGACGTTGCTGAGCTCTGACAAGGCGCCGAGGAGCGGCCGTTGGGAGCGCGCGCCCCTGTCCTGTCTCCCTTCCCCGCTCCGGGCGTCGCCGGTGCCGCGGCTGGGGGTGGCCGCCGGGCGCGGAGGGCGGTGGCGCTGGGATTAGAGGCTCCTCGCTAAATCCTTTGCCGCCTTGAGGCGGTGGCGGCTTTAGCCCTGAGCTCCCCCCCCCTCCTTCCCCGCCCGGCCGAGCCCAGCTAAGCCGCGCTAATCGCAGGCGTCCAGCTCGGGCAGGGCCGCCGGGCCTGGGCCCGATCCCGGGCAGCCATCTCCCCTCGTCTCCCCTCCCGGCCGCCGTCATGGAGCCACGGCGGCCGCGGCAGTCTTACCGTGCGCCATCCTCCCCGCCGGGTCGCGGCGGGCGGGAGAACAAGGGGCTCCGTCGGAAGGTCCCGCTGGGGGCCGGGAGCGCCAGTGGCCCCGAGGAGCCGGCGGACGGCAGGAAGCCCAAATTCGTAAGTACAAGTTGACCCCAAGCCGCCTCCTGGTCCCGCTGGGGCGGCCTGAGGCGTGGGCCTCTCGCCGGCCCTGCCCGGCCCAGCGGGGCGTCTCCCTGCCGGGCCTGGACCGAGAGGGCCCGACCGTGCGGCCGGTTCGACCGCTCCCCTTTCCACC